GGAACCCTCAGGGCACCTGGGTGGCTCAGTCAGTTAAACCTCTGACTCCTGATTTCCACTCAGGTCAGGACCTCAGGGTCGTGGGGTTGAGCCCCACACTGGGCTCTGTTCAGTGTGGAGTCTACGGAGATTCTCTTCCTCTCCCTACCCACCCCCGCTCGCACATGCGTGCTCTCTCTCTCTCCAATAAATAAGTAAAATCTTAAAAAAAAAAAAAAATGGAACACTCATACATTGCTGGTGGGAATATAATATTGTGCAGCCACTGTGGAGAATAATTTGGCAGTTTCTCAATAAGTTAAACATAGAATAACCATATGACCCAGCAATTCCACTCCTAGATAGTCAAAAAGAACTGAAAACAAGTGTTCAAACAAAAACCTGTACACAAATGTTCACAGCAGCATTATCCATAATAACCAAAAAGTGGAAACAACTTAATGTCTATCAATGAATGGTTAAACAAAATACAGTATATCCACACAACATATTATTTAGTAATAAAAAGAAATGAAATTCTGATAATATGCTACAACAGAAGCCAGGCACAAAAGGCCATATATCATGTGGCCAATATCATGATTCCATTTATATGAAATATCCAGGACAAGAAATCCACAGAGCCAAAAGTAGACTAGAGGTTACTAGGGGCAAAGGGTGATGGGAATGGAGAGCTTTTGCCATACAGTTTCTGCTGGAGTGATGAAAAAGTTTTAAGAAACAGAGTGGTAATGGTTGTACAACACTGTAAATATAATTAATGGTACTGAATTGTACATTTAAAAATGGTAAATTTTATGTTACATATATAACCACACACACACACGCAAGCAAACCAACCTAATACCAAACTTCAACATATAGTATGAGATGCAGCACGAGAATCTTAGCATGAGACTCTTCACAGTAGGAGATTCAGATATAAAATTACACATCTTCTTGGGTTCCATTTAACAGGCTTACTCTTTCAGTTCATTCTCAGCTTTAAAAACTATTTAAATGCATAAATTCTAAGGCTTGAATAATGTTCCTATTATATGAAGTATTAATCTTAGATTTTCTCAACCTAATTTCATAATGTGTGGACCATTTATCACACTTTGGCATAACAGAACTGTAATTTTAAAAGCTCAAATGTGAATTACACATTTACATATAAATTCTAAATGTCCAAAAGCAAAAAGCAAACCCATAATGAGAAACAATTTCATACCCTCTAGCTATGGCTATAATAAAAAAAAGAAGAGCAATAATAAGGGTTGGCAATGATGTGGAGAAACCAGAACCCTCATGCATTGCTGGTGGGAATATAAAATGGTGCAGCCACTTTGGAAAATGGTTTGGCAGCTTCTCAAAATATTAAACACAGAGTTACCATATGACTAAGCAATTCCACCCAAGAGACATGAAATCATATGCTCATCGAAATGTTTTCACAAATGTTCATAGTAGCATTATTCATAATAGCCAGAAGGTAGAAACAATCCAAATATCCATCAACTGCCAAATGGATAAACAAAATGTTGTACATCTACACAATAGTATACCAGTTGAATATAAAAGGGAATGAAGTACTGATAAATGCTACAACATGAATGAACCTCAAAAGCACTGTGCTAAGAAAAAAAAAAGCCAAACACAAAAGACCATATGTTGTATGATTCCATTTATATGAAATGCTCCCCAAAAGGCAAATCTATAGAAAGTAGTTTAGCGTTTACCTGGGGGGGGGGGGCAATGGCAAGGGACTGCTAATGGGGACCAGATTTCACTTTGAGGTGATGGAAAGGCTCTAAAATTAGATTTGTAGTGATTGATGGCGGAACAATCTTGTGAATATACTAAAAACCATGGAACTGTATTTTAAGTGTATAAATTTTATGGTATATAAAATATATTTCAATAAAGTTGTTTTTTTAAAACCTGCTCCATCTTTTCGTTCCTATAGCCATCCGACTTTATTTCTTATCATTCACCAATATGAACTTTCTAATTTGTCCATCTAGAGTCCATTGAAAACCCCACACTCATTTCAATTGCTTGACTCTGCTCACATTGTTCTCCTACTGGGAATATTCTCCCTAGGTTACACTCCAGTCACAAATTCATTTTGAAGATTTTCCTGCCCAAGTCAATCCTCATTGACCTAATTTTCCTCTAGATTCCATACCACTTGCAATTGTTAAGACTGTAACCTCAAATATATACATAAAGCAGTTTCATCTTACATTCCATCAACAGCTAATTTTTGCCATAACCTCTAATTCTTGCCTTTAATCTCTTTTATCTTCTTAGAGACAAGCTAGCATCTTGAACACAGGTGGTACAAATGTCTGCTGAATAACATACGCATGCCTTAATGCAACTTTCTACATATGTGTTCAATAGTATCCAAACCTTAACAAATAGCCCAAGTCTTAAAGCAGGGAACAGAAATGAAGAAAAAGGAAACTAAAATGATGGAACATGCTATCACTTCTCAACAGTGTATTAGAGAAGTGTATGTTCTTATTGCACATTTCAAGATGGCCTTTTACTGCTGCCCTCAAACCTGGGTGTACTAGGCATCCTATCTTTTTTCTTTTTAAGTAGGCTCCACATTGAGTGTGGAGCCTGATGTGGGGCTCGATCTCACGACCCTGAGATCATGACCTGGGCAGAAATGAAGAGTCAGACACTTAACCGACTGAGCCACTCACATGCTCCAAGGTTTTTTTTTTTGTTTTTTTTTTAAGATTTTATTTATTTAGTTGACAGAGAGAGACACAGTGAGAGAGGGAACACAAGCAGGGGGAGTGGGAGAGGGAGAAGCAGGCTTCCCGCGGAGCAGGGAGCCCGATGAGGGGCTCGATCCCAGGACCCCAGGATCATGACCTGAGCCAAAGGCAGACGCTTAATGACTGAGCCACCCAGGCACCCTCAAGAGAAGAATTTAAATACGAAACTCCACTTACTCCTAACAGTGGGGTACCAAGATTCAAACCCCAATGCCTTTATAGGCAGTCAGGACAAAATTAACACAATGAAGAATGGAAGTACTGTACAGACATGTGTGAGGTGGGAATAAGAAGGTCTTGCTTTCAAAGGATAGAGGGTTGGCAGGGGCAGAAGACAAGTCTTCTAAACCAAGCTTCTGAAAGCAACAAAGACAGCAGGTCATAGCAAAAAGCCACAAATTGCTGAGATCTGATCTAGAGCCTGACGGAGTCTAGGACTAACAAATTCAAAAGCATTTCTTTCTGGTACCCTGAATAGGCAAGTCTAATTCCACTAATGGGAAATTCCTCAACCTGGCCCTGAAAGGCTACAAACATTGAACACTTCTCATTTGTTTAGCTTCAGAAATATGTATTTTCCCCTTCCTCTATATTTATACTTACCTGGTAACTTGCCTTGTGTTGTTTAAAGGCCAAAACACATATACTGTAATCATTCAGACTTGCTTATGGGATTTCCCCGGTAGCAAAGTAGTTATCTCCAAATGTATCATTATTTCAGTTTGTTACAGATTTTTTTTTACTTGCTTAATTTGGGTCTCTTTAATAATTACTTTATTTGTAAAACTCCTTTAAATTATACCTTTCCTTCCCATCATTTCCTTTTTAATATTCAGTGGTTTAGATTAAGGGATTATGAAATGTACTTAAGGTGGGTAATTCCTCACTTCAACATTCAGAAGACTATTAAGGTACAAAGAGAAAATAAACAATATAAACGCCTAGAAAATGTTTTTCACAATTTATGTACTATTATCATTTGCTGCCTTTTTTGAACTCACATTTACAGATGTTAACAATCCCAGTTTAAATGTTTAACGAAGCATTTTCATTCTGCTTTTTGCAGAAGGCTATCAAGACTTCTTCAAACTATGTATGAATACAGACAGCATTTGATTATCATTTTAAATAATGACTTCAACACACCAGGACAACTTCTCCCAGTGAATACTTTGTTCAATAATAAGAAGAGAAAGCATCATTATCAAGAGTCCAAATGTACTGAACCAGAACAGAGCAGTTATACACAGGTCTTGTCATTTGATGGAATCACCCAGATATATAAATAAGAATCTTGACTTCTTAGAGATAAAGAAATCACTGAATAAATGAAAGAAATACAAAAAGCACCATTTATCAACATACATTTCTCTCTGCCCATTATTATACTACTGGCCAATGATGTTAAATAGGTTGTGAAATTGGTAAATGAAAGGCTTTCAACTGCCTACAAGTAAGAAAAACTGGTAACTTTTAAATAATGTGCAACAAGGGCAAGCTGACAATGCCTGGCATATACCAGGAGCTCAAAAAATTATTGCTGAACAAGGAATTAAAATCAGAGCCTTCAGGGGTGCCTAGGTGGCTCAGTTGGTTAAGCGACTGCCTTCAGCTCAGGTCATGATCCTGGAGTCCCAGGATCGAGTCCCACATGGGGCTCCCTGCTCGACAGGGAGCCTGCTTCTCCCTCTGACCCTCCCCCCTCTCATGCTCTCTCTCTAATAAATAAATAAAATCTTTAAAAAACAAACAGAGCCTTCATGAGGTATATGGAACATAAATAATTTCTTATAAAATAAATGTGTTCTTTAAAGACTTTGGAAAAGAAAATATGCTAATGTATGTTTTCTTATTTTATCTTTTAAAATATAACTTACATCCAAAAATATTAACTGGGGGTTCAATGTGCATGAAAGAGATCTTAAAACCTTTATTAATCTCTTCAAGTGTCTCTAGTTCACCCATTCACAGTTATATAAGGAAAGCAAATGGAGTACTAATTTAAAATTCATTCCTTTCAGTCACAATGTCAGTAATATAGCCAGTAGGACAGGAAATCGGAGAAGTTTGAATTTTCTGTACCTGTTCTTTAAGGATTACTATTGACAAATCTTCAAGTTTTAGTATGGTCTATCCACACAACCATTATTAAATTTAAAGGAAACCCTCCGAAGAAAAATATCAAAGAGCAACCTATGCCTCAAGATGGGAAGCACAACTTACTTCAACTTGGAACAATTCTCCAGCCCCCTCACAGTCATTGGATGTGATTATTGGAGTATGAATATGCACAAAGCCACTGTCCTGGAAGAAAAGAAAACCCACTTTTTTCAGTGTATTTGTATATAAAACAATTCTTAGATCATACAACTGATTATACTATTAAAAGAGCACTAAGAGAATGCCATATCAAATCTCTAACCCCCCAAGTGTAACTAATGAGATATCAAGTTGAGTGTTTTACTGTGCAGAGAAGCACAATGAATTTTAAATCAAGAACTGACTTAGACATTCTCTAGTCCAACATGATTTCAAAGATAAGGAAATTGAGACCCAGAGAGACTTAATGAAAAATTCACACAACCAGTCGATGGCAGAGAGAGCCAGGACCGGAACCTAGGCCTTTAAGGTCTCTCTGGTGTATTTTTTCTTCCCACTTCTCTAACACACTGGTAGTGAATCAACACACACACACATACACACACACACACAGTCACTCAAGGCTAATGCGCAACGATGTTGCCTGCACTGCTAAGGGACTACGAAGTGATCAATATGAAGTTCAGTTGTTATTTTGGAATGAGACCCCCCAATTGTCACAAACCACCAAAAAAGGAGAAAAATTAAAGTTGGCAAATAGGGACTGAAGAAATAAATAGCAACAAAGGCAGAAATGATTTTTAGGAAGTCTGTCATCAAATTGATGGCACAGAACACTACACACAGCATAGGCAGTGCACTTCCTTTGCCTCAAGGAAGATTCTGAGCATCAAATCCATCCATTACTGAGGCGCCCAATTTCAATTCTTCCGCTCCGAAGTCTGAGCTATTTCCATTAGTGAACCACAAAAGCTGTTTGCTAGTAGGACTGAAATAACCCACCAACTTCAAGGTTATGCTTCTTTCATTTTGACTATGGATGTGGCAAAAGGTTACATTCAGTGTAAATGTTGCAGGTGGGTGTAGAACTTACGCTGCAGAGGCACAATAGTATGTGTTTCACACGAAAATTTTGATCTTGAGGTCAGTGCAATGAATTCATACATGCACATTTAATCTCTGCTGAATTATACCTATCACTGATGGAATGTAAAATGTTTCAGTGCATTACACCAGCCGCCTCCCAAATTTGCCCTTCCCTTCTTAAAAAGGTGGAATTCAAGTATTCTGGCTATGATAAAAAGTACCTAGTTAACAACTTGTCTTATGATGTAGACTGATTAAATATTCAAGCTATAAATTAGGAGTCTCAGAAAATATTCAAATATATACTTAACCTGGGAGTTACGTGCCTAGAGGTGCCACACAAAGCACATTATAGAGAACGAATGAAATGTAATCAATAACATTACTGCATAAAATTTTTATCTCCTAGGAACCAGAATTATGGACATGAATCATTTATTCCACATGAATACAGGCAACTATGAGCAGGAGTGCAGTAAACAAAGAAAGGAAGTGAAAAATCCAAAGGAAATGAGGGTGGTGAGAGGGAGGGGGAGAGGGAGGAGAAAATCTAACGGCTAAATATAATTGCCAAAGTTAGAACTGGTCAATTGCCACAAGAAACAAAACTGCAAATCTTGTGAAAAAAACTATCTGGGTTTAAAAAGAAAAAATCACTCAAGTAGTGGGAATTATTCTTAATAATCAATTAATGCTAAACCTTTCAAAAGGTATCACCAGCTTTTTAAGCCTTAATGCTGCTAGAAGGCTTATATCGAAGTCTGTAACATTCCCACCAAAAGCTATAAAGAACAGACTCCAAAGGTAGAATAATAAAGCATAGAGAACAAAATCCAAAAAAGAGCAAGTGGATAGGGAAGTAGAAAAATAAAAAGGAAAATAAACAGCAAGGAGTGGGGGAATACTGTCTGCCTCCACCAGGGTAACAGTGTCAGATATTTATCCCATCCTACAGTAAAGGGGTTCCTAACTAGAAATAGGAAGGCCAGAGAAGGAGCCAAAAATAAAAGTACACACTTACCCAATTTTTCTTTTTTCCCCCCCTTAAGATTTATTTATTTATTTGAAAGAGAGAGCGAGAGAAGACACCAGCAGGGAGGGGGGGCAGAGGTAGAGGCAGAAGAAGGCTACCTGCTGAGCAAGGAGCCCCATGGGGGAGGGGCAGAGGGAGCAGCAGGCTCCCTGCTGAGCTGGGAGCCCGACCCTGATGCGGGGCTCAATACCAGGACCCTAGGATCATGACCTGAGCCAAAGGCAGACGCTTAACCGACTGAGCCACCCAGGCACCCCTACTCACCCAATTTTTCTGATTCCACCTGCCACCTCTAAATATCTAAGTATTTTTGATACACATTTTAGAACCAGATATTTTATAAGACACTGAGTATCTGAAATTTATAAAATTCACATACTAAGGCCCATGCACATCACTCAAAACCTCATGGACTGTATTTTTCTTTTACACTCACACAAAGTAAGCATCATTATTTAATCAGAATCAACAAGGAAGAAACATGACAACAATTGCTAGCCACTGGCAACAAAAAGTGACAGCAAGAAGACCAAAAAAAAAAAAATCCATAAAAAACAGTCACAGGAACTCAAAGACACAGTAGTCTGGGGTCATTCAACAGAGCAGCAAAGAATACACCCTGACAGGCTTTTAAGGCCTTGCCATACAGAAGAGGGAAAAACCTGATACTCAAAAGGAAGAATCTGGACTCATCAAGAAAGGGTAAACTCTTCTATTGGCTCAATTAGGAATCCAGGGAACCATGTAATATATTTTAGGATAACCTCCATTGGAAATTAGAAAAAAAAATTGTGCCTAACTACTCTGTTATGGGAGAAACTCAGCTCTTCTAAATAATTTAAACCTTGAGGATTCTAGATATCCAAGTTTTAGTACACAGCAAAGGTGTCACTTTTATGCACAAACCAACTTATACACAAAACATTTTTGATACTCAAACCAAAAAATGACTTTCTAACCTAGAAATATTAGGAAAAAATAGCAACTAGAACAGTACCTTTTAAGTTAGGATACTTTAAGGTATGAAACTCTTAGATTTTGAGTCTTTTAGGAAGTCTAAAGTAGTAAGTCACAGAAATAGTACCAAGTACTAGATAACATATAACTATTATTTAATATGCCCTATCGTATTCTGTGATTTCAATTCAGTCCTAAGTGTTATATATACAAGTGGGTAACATTATAGAATTACCAGGATTATATTTTCCAAGGCTTTACAATTAAAAACTGAATTGATAGCACTCAAAAATTACCTGCCTTTATAACTATAACCAATAGTGCTAAAATTCATTATTTGCAACTACTTAAAATGTTATTTTGCTTATTTTTTTATTTCAGATTTTTCCCAGTTTGTTAAATTGTTTACACATTTGTAAAAGCTGCCAGTAATAAATGTATAAAGTAGGTAAAGCTCACTTGCCAATGGACTGCCAATATCACCATCTAGTGGCCAGAAATCTACAAAATTTTCAGTATTGAAGCAGGTCTACTTTATCCACTATTTAAAGCCATATGGGGCAAGAAACATTTTTAGATCTGAACAAATTTTCTGCTTGTGTGGTTAAGCACTACTGAAAAGCCATATGGAAGCTGCATAAGAAAGTTTATGAGAGCATATGGAAATGCACCCTTTCAAACTATATAATAGGATGACATAGTATAATGTGATTATTTTTCTTTGTTTATTCAAAACTATATGCTTCAAAGCCACAATGCTCTTTAGCTGTTTCAACAGAAACTAACTCTGAAGGAGCTTTTCAAAGAGCAAGAACTCTCTAGGTAAACTACAATAGGGCTGGGCCTGCATGAATTTGGATGCATCCAAGGGAAGGGTATGTTAGACAATCTCTGCCAATCAGCTGGATCTGGAGAAGTGGCATAGGAAGAGCTCCAGAACCACTTGGAATAACACTGAACTTCATCTGCTGGGCCACTCCTGGCCTTTGGGGCCCTCTCATCCACCTGAGGGGAGGGTCCCTTGACCTCATAAACTTAACCACTATATTCCCCAGTGGCTTTCCTGGGTAGGGGGAAGCAGATGACAAGCAAAGCTAAGTAAGACAAAATGCCTTTAGCTGCATACCAATCTACTTGATTAACACCAATAACTCTTTAAAAGTAGTGCTTACTACATATATGTCTATGACCAAGATGGAAAACAGGGACCAAATTTACCCTCCCCCTTGAAACAACCAAAAACAAACAACAAACAAACAAACAAAAAATGAAAACAAAACTAAAAACCCCACAAAAAAAATCAAAACACACACGAAAGGATGGTTTTCAAAACAATGGATATCAGACAACAAAAGACAGTGATCCCTGAGGCGGGAAACAAACTTAGTGAACCCTATCAATAGCCTTGCTTAGTACCTTGAGATTGTCCAGGCCATAGCAGGAAGAGGGGGGAAATAAGGTGGAGCCCAGCAGACTTCCTTAGCTGAGGAGACAGAGCTGAGAGTCTGAGGGGGCAAAAGTGGCTAGAATTCATAGGACAGAGTATCAGAGAGGAGAGAGATGAGAACTCCAGGGATGAACAGAGGGTCACTCTGGAGTATTAGGTAGAAGAATGATGAGCACGTGCATGTGGGGAAACTATCAAAAGCCAAGGAAAGAATCATACAAAAAGATCAGAGGAAACAATGCCTGGTGCTCACAGTGTGGCTGGAAACAGTACCTGTTCCCACAAGCCAGAATGGAAAAACTCAAAATTCACAAGGCACTAGGTAAAGTACTCAGGAAGTCTTTGCCTCAGTAGTGGAAATTAACTAGCCCTAGACTGTGAGCACTGCTCCAGCCCTATTTACCAAATTATAAAAACAAGACCCATAAGGATCAAACAGTTTTCAAGTAGCTTAACCTCACACCAAAACAAAGCTTAATAATATCCAACACGGTAAAATTTTCTGTCTGGCATCTAACCAAAGATTAGCAGATAGGCAAAGAGGCAAGAAATCATCACCTGTAATGAGGAGACTAAAAGCACTAAATCAAATAAATAAATAAATAAATAAATAAAAATAAAAAATAAAAGCAGCATATCAATCAGAAAGAACTTATAATTGACAGACATGTTAGAATTAGAAGGACATAAAAACAGTTATTAAACAGCTATTACAACTGTAAAGTTTTATTAAAAATGTTTGTGTATGTTCAAAGAGTTAAATGGAAGATATTTTTTTAAAAAGGCCCAAATCGTGCTTGCTTCAGCAGCACATATGCTAAAATTGGAATAATGAAGAGAAGATGAGCATGGCCCCTTGTGCAAGGATGACATGCAAATTCGTGAAGCATTCCATATTTTTCCACACAGAAGGAAAAAAAAAAGGCCCAAATCAAACATCTAGTTATGAAACCTACAATGTGAGATGAAAAATGCATTGGATAAGAGTAACAACAAATCAGTCATTGTAGAAGAAAAGATTAGTAAGCTTGAAGACATAGCAATAAAACTATCCCCTAAAAAAACACACAGGGAAAAAGGAATTTAAAAAAAGAAAAGAACATCAGTGAGCTATGAAGGTATCATTAAGTGGCCTAATATATAGGAAACTGAAGTCTCCAAAGGGGGGAGGTAACATAAAAAATATATGAAGAAATAATGGCTGAAAAACTTGATGAAAATTAAAACACATAGATCCAAGAAATTCTACAAGGTCTAAACACAAGGAACAAAGAAAACTGTGCCAAGGCACATCATAATCTAATTGCTCAAAACCAGTGATTAAAAGACAATTTCAAATCAGCCAAAGAAAAAAGTACCACACAAATAAAGGGTGCTTGGAATAAATAGTGTGACTAACAGAACTTTCAGGATAATACTCCAAGGTTATAATTATTCAACTTCTTCACAAGAAAGAACAGCTAAAAGCACACAAAGCATCTTACCTTAAAGAAAGAATGAATAGCAGCTGTGGCTTCACTGCGAACCCTCAGTATAGAACCCAGAGCATTAGTTCTACACCGAAGGTGAGGATATTGTCTCAGATACTCCAGAGGATGCCTCTCCTTATATTTAAAAGGGAAAGCCTGCCAATAAATGGGAAAAAAACCAAATTAAAAGCTAAAAAAGATAATGTTCTATAAATAGCAGTTTCCAGGACACTTGTTAAATAGTAATGCTTCAAAACAAAATTAAAATGTTTTCCCTGTTTCTTAATATAAGTGAATATAGTCCACATAATTCCAAATTAGTAGAATGGTGGATGGATTCAGAGATGTGGGTTTGAATCCAGCTCTACTACTTATTAGGTGTGGAACCTCGGGCAAAGTTAATATTACTGAGGCTAATCTGTTATTTATCAAATTTCCACCCATTAGCTTATATCAGTCACTACTTACAAATAGAGGGATTAGGATATAATTATGCAAAATAGTCCACTGTTTGGCACATAAGAGTTCAGAATATTGTAGATATTAAAGATTATGTTTTCTACAGCTGTGTACACACAGCTGGTGTTCAATTTTAAAGTCACCCAAATGTCTTGGAAGCCTACAATCATTTATAATCAATTGGCACTGTTCTTCCCTGTTTATCAGCATGTCTAAGAACATGAGGGAGGGTCAACAGCTTTCTGTCATCTGGCAGAGTAGTATATATTTACAAAAATTTCAAATTATGACTCTATGTAGAAATATTACACCCTGCCTACCCTCATGTTTCAAGATTAAGAAGACAGAAACAAACCTTCAGACCAAAGTTTTAATAACAGAAAAGCTAAGTAAAAAAGCCAAACTGATAGCTTATTCCATTTAGTCTTATCTATTTCTTTTAGTGCACATACTAATTTATTTCATAATAGAGTAAGTACCACATCTACTAAAGTCAAAATATGACATTAATAAGAGTCTGGAGACTGCCTGGGGATCAGAATTCCCTAATGTCTGAATACTTTACAATGAACCTGAAATCAAGGGGAAGAGAAGGTGAATGACAAAGAAGCCAAGAGAGAACAATTTAAGAAGAGTAAAACACATGGCAAATTTTAATAATCATTATACCCCTCTAAAAAAGCAGAACCAAAAATGGTTACCATCTCCCAATTCCTGAGTTCCAAATTATTTTCATAGTCTACTTTTCAGAAATCTTAGAGCCCGTTCCAGACTTTACATGTCAATTAGTATTTATTAGCATTTCAATTAGTATTTCTTAAAAAATTATTCAGAATGACTTTTTTTAAAAGTTGCCCATTTTCTCTCTTATTTCCTTATATTTATTTTCCTCCAATTATCCAAAAGAAATAAAAATGAATTAAAATGATGCAACTTCCCTATACTTCCTCATTTTTCGTTCATTAAATACTTAAAGACAAGTATAGCAAAACTACAGGGGAGTCAGATGGCTAGTACATCAGTTTCAGCTGTGGCACTAGTCAGCTATACAACCTTGAGCAAGTCAGGTCAACTGACTGGGCCTCATTTTCTCCAGTTCAGAAACTGGATTGATAATCTGTGATTTTATACCCTCTAACCTCTTTATCAGGTGATAAATAAAAGCTAGTAACAAAGAGTCTTGCAAAAATAGGCATAAACATGTCTCTTTTTTCTTTTTAAGATTTATTTATTTGAGAGAGAGAGGAAGAGAGAGAGCATGCGCCCACACATAAGCAGGTGGGGGCAAAGGGAGAAGGAGCGAGAAAACCAAGCAGACTCCTTGCTGAGCACGGGGCCCGACGGGGTTCTTGATTTCAAGACCCTGAGATCACAACCTGGGCTGAAACCAAGAGTCAGATGCTTAACCGACTGCACCACCCACATGTCCCATATATGTCTTAATGTAGGATTTCTTATCTTTGCTCAGCCCAAGCATTACTCCAGTACTGTCCCACAGAATTTTCTGTGATAAATGGAAATGTTCTGTATCTGGGCTATCCAGTATGGTAGCCAGCAGCTGCCTGTAATGACCAAACACTTGAAATGTGGTTAATGGCACTGCGGAACTGATTTTATTTAATTTTGATTGATTTAGTATTAAAATAGTTGATATGAAACAGCCACAGGTGGCTAGTGGCTACTATACTGGTACAGCACAGTTCTAGATCCTGCAAAGGTCATTTCTAGGCAGGGCTTTCCTAAGAACATGGTCTACCCCGATGTCTCTGTCACTGCGGCTAACTGGGCATCTTCGTGAAAGTGGCAAGTTTCAACCGTGACAGCCATCCAAAGAGATACACAGATTAATACTTCACTTTCATTCATAAAACTCAATCATCTATATACTTTTTGCTATACTCTCTACATTCCTCAGGCACCATAGCCTGTTTCAATTATCTGGGAAGTCCAACTGAAGCATGCTCTAAGGGCCATCTTCCCAATAATCACACTTAAAACAGACTGCTAATGTTTTAAATTAAGCCTAAATAGTCTCCATTAAAGTATTGGAGCATACCTTGGCATCGCAATTTCCAACAACTTCAATTTTTTCTGCCTTCAGTTCCACATCTTGCTTTTTGGATGGACTTTTTACCAGCTGCCCTTGAACTTCCACAGAACTCCCAAAAGCCAGTTCTCTACAGTAACAAAAAACCAGCATAAACAAGGTATCATTATATGGAACCCTCGTTTTAATACAAAACTTGCTATCAGAACATTCCAATATTTAATGAGAGAGGTTTCACCCTTCTTTGGGCAGCAAATAATTGGGAGAGACTGAAGCAAAGAATAGGTAGGGGATATTATTATGTGAAGATGTTAGAAGAAGAAAGGCCCCCATCAAAAAAACTGAAATCTTGCCATTTGCAATGACATGGATGGAACTAGAGGTTATTATGCTAAGTGAAATAAGTCAATCAGAGAAAGACAATTATATGATTTCACTCATTTGTGGAATTTAAGAAACAAAATAGAGGAGCATAGGGAGGGGAGGGAAAAATAAAACAAGACAAAATCAGAGAGGGAGACAAACCATAAGAGACTCTTAATCATAAGAAACAAACCGAGGGTTGCTGGGGGGGCGGGGATGGGGTAACTGGGTGATGGACATTAAGGAGGGCATGTGATATAATGAGCACTGGGTGTTACTATAAGATTGATGAATCACTGAACTCTACGTCTGAAACTAATAATATATTCTATGTTAATTAACTGAATTTAAATTAAAAATAGGGCGCCTGGGTGGCTCAGTTGGTTGAGGGACTGCCTTCGGCTCAGGTCATGATCCTGGAGTCCCGGGATCGAGCCCCACATCGGGCTCCCTGCTCAGCGGGGAGTCTGCTTCTCCCTCTGACCCTCCCTGCTCTCATGTGCTCTCTCTCTCTCTCATTCTCTCTCTCAAATAAATAAAATCTTGAAAAAATAAATTTAAAAAAATAAAAGAGAGAAAGAGAAAAAAAAAAGAAAAAGAAAAGGAAAGGCCTGGGCTCGAAGGATCTTGATTCCAGATAGTTGGAGTTGAGCCTCAAAGCTCTGAAAAGCAGGTTTGTTTAGAAAGATCACTCAGGGGGCAATATGAACATTGGATTAGGGAAATGGGGAGCAGAGATGGAAGAAAAAAGATTCTTTTGTTTAAAAAAAAAACACAAAAGACTCACCTACTGTCAAAGCTTGAATCTGCTACAACCTGAAGGCTTTCCAAAGACGATCCATCATTTATATGCAGGAACAAGACTTCCTTCTGGGATCGGACTGAACGAATCCATCCCTAATGAAGAGAAAGTTCTAAATGTGAGTTTAAAACACATAAACATTTTACATTTTCATTACACACGCACATATAAGACTAAATGAAAAAAAAAAATGTCCTCAATCCTGTCTTAACAAATCAATCGCTTTTAGCTCACCCCTAAGCATATCAAATTCAGTATGATTCTTATTGCAGTGAGATACAGCTTCAGCATCACACCTTTTTGTTTTGTTAATAAAATTCACCATTCTGAATAGATGCCTAACATTCCATTAGGTGAAGAGCCTAATTCACATCATCAATTTCCCCAATATTGGCTATTCCAGGTATTTCTTCTTGCCCCTCGCTCCTTTTCACCACCGTAACAAATAACAGGGCACATATTTTGGCCCCCGTCTTCTTTTATATAAAATTCCCAGAAGGGAGATTATATAGTTATAGACTAGAAACATCTTTATGGGATTTTTTTCCCTTTTAGAATGTATCACACAAAGTTCTCAAGAAGCTTTCCATGTGAACATAATTAGTACATAAGCTTTCGAAGACACTCTGAATTTAAATGACAGGTATGGGTGAGTACAAATGAGAGGTCTTCTAGTAGACCAGTACTACTAAAAACAGTTCTCACAGATCACATCTAACTTACATTTAACTAGCACGGAAAAGAGAATATTCTTCTAGCAGACACTGAACAAGTGTTTAACAACTGATGGTGTTTGATGAACTATCATACATGCTTGGGAAAAGGGAGATGATTCTAGTTAGAAAAACTAGAGTTTTTGACCCTTACTTTGTGTTACCATCATACCCTATAGACAATGCTATTAAAGCTCTTCTATTACTTATTTGCATGTCCATAATATTTTCAAAGTTTAGGAACCATGCTTTAGTTGCTTTGAAGGCCACTGTCAAGCACATAGTAGATAGTCCATTAATGTTTTTCAGTGAAAGAATATCTACCATGCACTAAAAATCTACTATTGACAAGTGTTTTACTACCTTCTTCATATACTATCTCATCCCTTCCTCACAACAGCTCTGTGGATTATCATTATAATTTGTCTTGCAAGTAAAGAATCTGGGCTCAAAGAAGTTAAATAACTTGCTGAAGGTCACACTGCTGGTTAACATAAATTTGAACCCAAGTCTACCAGAAAGCCCTTGAACTTCTTCTAGGGCTACACTGAATAAGTATAACTTGCCTCAGTCTCCCATACAAGGCCTTTCACAATTGAGTGTGCCCATCTTTCTGGTTTCACCTCCCCACGCTTCCCCGAAGGCAGGTGCTCTTTGGTCAAGTTCAATCAATAGTAATTCCCAAAGCACCACTGTCTTGCTTTTCACTTGTTAGTAAAAGATAACATTTGTGAAGCACCGTTTAAAAATGTGCTTCTGTTCTAAGCTCTTTATATTTTACTACTTATTCCTTACAAGAACTTAATGAAGTGAATATTAGAGATGGAGAACATATTTAGAGAAGTTAGGATAACCTCTCTAAATAATTAAAATCACAGTTCCCAAGTAGTGGAGCTAGAATTAAAATACAGTTCTCGGGGCGCCTGGGTGGCTCAGTTGGTTGAGCGACTGCCTTCGGCTCAGGTCATGATCCTGGAGTCCCGGGATCGAGTCCCGCATCGGGCTCCCAGCTCCGCGGGGAGCCTGCTTCTGCCTCTGACCCTCCCCCCTCTCATGTGCTCTCTCTCTCTCATTCTCTCTGTCTCAAATAAATAAATAAAATCTTTAAAAAAAAAAAAAAAAGAAAAAAAAAAGAAAAATAAAATACAGTTCTCAGTTCAAAGTTCACGTTATTATCAAACTTCTCTACAATGCTATCACCACCCCATCCCCAGTTCCTCTGCCTGAGGAACTCACATCCTTCAGGACTCAAGCGAAATGTCACTTAATATAAGAAGTCTTCCTTGACCTATGCACATAGTTAAGGACGTCCCTCTCTATTTTCTCAAAATTTTTTATACCACCAATACCAATCACATTGCCCCAATTACTAGTCTTAGCCATTAGACCAGGGCTGACATACAAAAATATAATGTGAGCCACATATGTAATTCTGCATGTTTTAGTGGTCACACTAAAAGCAGGTAAAATTAATTTTAATATTTTATTTAACCCAATTATGCCCCAAATATCAACATGTAATCAATATATATTGAGATATTTTGTATTTTGTTCTCCAAAATTGGTATTTTACATTTACCCTTCAATTTAGACTAGCTGCATTTCAAGAGCTCAATGCCACAAATGGCAGGTAGCTACTATCTTAGGCTGCACAGCACTAAAACGAAAGCGTCTAACCTAAGCAGTAGCTTTTATCTTTACCACTCCAAAGGGATCATTAATGTATGTATGTCAAATGAATAGATGATGAATAAATAGAAAAGGTTTTGATTTGTAACATGGAAAAAATATGACACCTAAAGAAATGCAGAGGGGCCATACTGCTAAAAATCAAGGATATCCAAGGACAACAAAAATAACTTCATCAGTGTTTCAGCAACCTACAAGGAATGGCCAAACCACCTTGCTCGGTCTACTCCCTTAAGGGCAAATCTTCTATGTGGAGCTGTTACAAGTGATATTAACAAGAGAAATAATAGCAGCCAACATTTATTGACTGTGAGCCACTGTTCTAAATGTCTTAATACCTATCACCTCAAGCTTCAGGACTCTATGACATTAAGGCTGCTATTAGCTTCACGGCCATAAGAAGGAAACAGAGAACACATAAGAGACATGCCCATAATTAAGGAGCCACTAAGTGGCAGATTTGAACCTAGGCAGCCTGACTCCAGAGTGTCATACTGCTACACTCTACTCTTTCTCCTAACTTATTAAACATACATTATATGCAAACCCCCATTTTTAGGCCTTGGGGTGGTTAAAAGTTGAATAAAAGCAATTGTTTAGTTGAACAAGTATTTACTGTCAGCCATGTGTGAATACCAAGACAGATGAGACACGGTGTCAGCTCTCAAGGAGCTAGCTCGAGGCAACCACTATTAACTGTGGATGTTCATTATGAGGGACAAAGGAAACGTTTATTTTGCTGTATGACTAACAAGTTTACAGGTAATGTCCTGGTACCGTGAAAGCAAAGTTCCAGGACTTCACAGGCATCCCAACAGTTTTGCAAAAAGTTAACGGTAGACAAGGAAAAGTGTGAACGCACACAATTGGCTACCTTTTCTCCTTTCCCTGCCTGACATTCTCTCTGACAAGGCAAGCCTAGTCGTGGAGGTGCCATTTAAGTCACTAAAAAGAAAAACCCACTCCCTTCCCATACACCCACCTGGACCTTAACGCGCTCCCCTTTCGTGTTCTGGGCCCCGAGAGCATCCCGCACGCTCAGTCTGGCTGAAGGTTTGTGTCTCGGGCAGGGAACGGAGGAACAGGGGCGCAGGGCTCGGATCAGGTACCGGGCCCCAAACATCGCGCGGCTGCCCCAGGCCTTCCTCGGGACCAGCCCCGATTCCGGCTGGTGCGGACCCTGCCTATGGTGAACCTCCCCTCTCGATTGCTCCCCAATTCTGGGCTGCAGCCCTGCACGCAGGCGCTCCACGCCCCCCAACCCCGGCTGCTCCCTTCCCCTTCAGGGGCTCCAGCTCTGTCCCCACAGAGCCTCCCCTGCGCTTCCCTCTCCCGGGACTGGGTGGAGCGGAGACAACAGTCAGCGGCGTAAGCCCAAAAAACCACGCGCCGTAGCCGGCCAAGACACCTCACGGTCCCACGTAGTTTCCAAACCCACAGCTCAGACCGCCTCCACTAGCTGAAACACACGGGGCCGCCGCCACTACGTCACACGTCAACGTCAACGTCATCACGCTACGAGGTTAAGAAGGAGCGTGCGCACTTGTGACTCCAGTTTACGGAGAAGGCGGGCTTGAGGCAGGTGCAGGCGGAGTGGGGAGGGAGCGGGCCAGAGGCTCAGAAGGGGCGGAGCAAAGCCATTCCAGCTGCAGGTGTTACTGCTGGGAAAAATGGGGAGCACACCTGGGATGGGGCGTAAGAGGTGTTCATTTCTAAAGCTTGCAGGTGATGCCGAGGAACACTGAGAGGCAAAGGGACTGATGCAGAAGGAAAGCCTCCAGGAGACTTAGTTGTTGAGAGGATTAGCCGGAGGATATCAGTTGTTCCTGAGTTCTGAGCACAAGGAAAGACAAGACATAGATCATCCTTGCTCAAGTCACAGTTGTGTGGTATTACACTTCTAAACAGACAGCTGCATAAAAGTGTGATCAGTTCCCTGGCGGAGCCTAACCGTGGGATGCCAGAGACAGCTTGCTGGAGAAGGCATCCCTCTTCTTGTATATGCAAATCAGAGAAGGCACAACACGCTGTCAAGATGTTGGAGAGAGACTGGAGGGGATGTCAGCCATTGCCTGCTGGAATCTTTGTCTTTTTCCCAACACAATTATCTGCATTTGTTTGACCTGGAAACAATGACCCTTTTAAATTTATCCACCACTCCCTCCCAATTAAAAAAAAAAATTCTATAATTCACTGACAACCATGAAAAGGTTTCCATCTAATTAAAAGATAAAAGTAAGGGTTGGCAACTTATGGGCGCCTGGGTGGCTCAGTCGTTAAGCATCTGCCTTCGGCTCAGGTCATGATCCCAGGGTCCTGGGATCGAGCCCCACATCGGGCTCTCTGCTCGGCCGGGAGCCTGCTTCTCCCTCTCCCACTCGCCCTGCTTGTGTTCCCTCTCTAGCTGTCTCTCTCTCTTTCTGTCAAATAAATAAAATAAAATCTTAAAAAAAAAAAAAGGGTTGGCAACTTAAAGTTACTGCTATTATTATGCCCATTTTACAGATACAGGAACTTGGGTACAGAAAAGTGAAATGACTTGCTCAAGGATATACAATACATCCTATAAATCTGAGATTTAAACTCAGAAATTCTGGCTCCATGCACTAAACTATTGTGCTATAGAGTGTCTCAAGGTGGGAAATAAAATTATGGTCCCTTCCACCAAGAAGCTCATGGTCTAGACATGGGGAATGACAACAAAACAGATTATTGCAACATAAACCTCTAAGTACCCATAAATATTTGAGCCAAGAGGAGTGGTAGCCTAGAGAAGGAAATAAACTGAGTTTTTGAAGAGGATCAGAATTTTGCAATGCTGGGATGTAAGAAAGAGTACTTCCTGCAACAAGGTGAGCAGGAAAGGTTGCTAGGAGGGCAAACAGCTTGGAAGAATTGTAAAATTGTTCTCAAGACAGACAAAAAATATCTCCCAGAAATATACCAGAGTTCTTGGGCCTTCTTGAACCTTTCAAAAAGAAATATGGAGGGGTACCTGGCTGGCTCAGTAGGATCATGCAACTCTTGATCTTGGGGTCATGAATTCGAGCCCCACATTGGGTATAGAGATAACAAATAAAATTTAAAAAAATATGGAAACGTCCAAACACCTTCAGAATTATGTAGCTTTGGGACTTTAACAAAAAAATAAGTATGGCTTTGGTGTGCTGGCTACAAAATCTGGGAAGAAGACGATCACAGCATTAATGTGTTTTTCAATTCACATCTCCCCTTTTGACTATGCCTGCCTTGTCCAAGTGTTGAAAAGTAGTGACCAATTGGCTCACTTCCTTCCCAGGCTATTTTTCTGTCTTGCCTTCTTTCTCCACCCCTTTCCCCTCAATGTGTATTTTAAGAACTGTGGTCCTTACCACAGTGATCCTGACTTCCTTTACTCTCTCACCTATTGCTTGTCTAAGCCAAAGGGTTAATTAATTTCTAAGCAGGAGACCAGTGCCTACTAGTATGATGAAGACAAGGGAAACCGGTGGGTGAAAATGAAAATTAGCAGTAGTTAATTAAAAATGTATATGACTGGAAGTTGACTATAGCATCTGTGTGTCTGGTACTAAGTTCAAACCACTCCATGTATCTTGTGCTAGATCAAATCATGTTTTCTTATTTTTGTTTTCAAGTTGGGATGACCCTGCCTTTTTTAGATTCGTCACCTTTCAGACAGTAGCCAGAGTAATCTTACCACAATGAATATATTACTATGTTGGTAATAATGGTTGCTAGTGCTGTAAAATGCTTACTCTGTACCAGGAAGTTGTCACATATTAACTCACTTAATCCTCACAATAGCCCTCTGAAGTAGGGTTAACATCATCATCCCCAGTTTCCAAAGTAGAAACTGAAGTTGGCAAGGTTTCGAGCTTGTACCAAGTTACACTGGCAGTCTGGCACCAGAGTCCATTCTCTTCCCCACTTGTTACTCCAGTGATTAAACTACTCTTCAGCTGCTCCCCCTACAACGTAAAGAGGACTTGCCTTCTTCAGCATGCCTAGTAGTCTCTCTATGATTCAGGGAGTTCCCTGAGGTTCCCTGGAGTGAGGAACAGAAGTGAAACGTACTTATTGTTACCTTTTGATAATACAGGTCTAAGCAATGAACACTGTCAGCATTAGTCGTCAGCTTTAGAGAAGGTTTTAATCAGGCTCAGCATGACAGGTTTCAGCTTCACTTGCAAAACTTCAGGGCTTCTAAAAGGCAAGCATTACTCTGATACTCTGTGTGGTCATAAAATACAACTCTGTGTTCAGGGTTTTCATTATGCCTGAATCTACTCATGAAACTCTCAACTTGGTAGCAAGGTCATGACCTCAAAACATAGAGGAACATAGTACCTGATGCAGAAATTATGGAGACATTAGGTGTAGACAAGGAATGGATGGATATTGCTAAGGATCCTGGGCTTCTCTGAAGAAGCTAAAGTTGGTGAGCACAATTTAACTTGAAAAATGGAAAGGCGCAGGCACAAAACAGAACAAGAAGTCACATGTGTAGTTTAGAACCTTCAGAAAAGCAGCTCATAATCTAGAAAGAAAAGCTGACAAGTAAATGATCAGTTAAAGGAAAATGCACAGAAGAGCAGTAGTAACCAAGTGCTGGGGGAGTAAGGCAGTTTTCCTAGAAGAAGTGACATCTAAGCTGAAGCCAGAAGTTGAATATCAGCCAGGAAAAGGGGAATTGTACATGCTGAAGAGATTTGGCAATGTTCTATACCATGATCCTGGTGGGCTTACCTGTATCAGATATGTAAACATTCTTTGAGCTGTACACTTAAGATTTGTGCATTTCACTTACATATACCTCAACAAAAATATAAATTAAATATTAAAAATAGAGGAATCAGGTCTGCTGCTAGAATTAGAGCATCTTCTTTCTCTGGTTAGTGCAAGAGATTTTTTTTTTTTTTTGCAAAACATGTGACCTATTTTCTGCATATAGAAGAGTTTAGAAAATAATGCAGTAAAACCTGGTAACTAACACCTAGGTTTGTCATATCAAATCTTAATATTTTGTCCTATCTCCTTGAGATCTTTCTCTTTCCAGGAAATGGACCTCCTTTGAACCTCTCTGCAATCCCATTTCCCTCTTTTCCTCCTGGATAGAGGTAACCACTATCCAGAATTCAGTGTTTATCATTTCCTTCCATGTTTTATAATTCCATGTAATTATACACACACACACACAATTTTATATATATGTATAATATATACACATCTGTGTACATATACATATATGTTATATAATATGCACATATCTATAGTTTCTTGTATTGTTCTGTATAGTTTTAAAATTTAAATTAATGGTATCTTACTCTATAAATTATTCTGCAACTCAAATTTAGTTTTTCACATATATCCATGTAGCTGCAACTCATTCTTTATAGTATTCTGTTATATGAATATACCACAATTCATTCATTCTCATTCTCATAGTTATTTGGGCTGCTTTCAATGTTTTTCTGTTAAAAACAGCAGTAGATTTACCATGAAGCTAATGAAAGGTAAACTCAGAGCCCCTTATTTGAATTTATGCAAATAAGTCTCATACCCCTCAGCCTCCCCCTTCTCCCCAGCCCCTCCCCCCGAGTGCTGGGTGCTGCTGGGAGTTGTAAAGAAGAGGAGAAGCAATTAGGAAGCATTTCTAAAGGAACTCAGAAGAGAGGGCCATGAATTTCCGAAGTTCTAGAAATTTCTTGTAACTTCTCTCATTCTAAATAAATATTTATCTCAATATTTGTAGTTCTGTATTATTTTCCTTTAAAAGAACCTCCTAAATTATGTAAGCTTTAAGACCCACAGAACTGGATCTGCCCTACATTATAAGACTGCTGAAAAAACTAGATGGGACACGTCAAATAGTGTCTCTGCATCATACACCTTAAGTGCAGAAGCTATGCATCTTCAGCTTTACTAGGTACTGCCAAATTGCTCTCCCAACTGAGGATTCCAACTGATACATCCTCCAGCAAGCTTACAAGGATTCTCAGAGTTCCATACCTTTAGTGACAATGGATAGAGTCAGACTTTTGATTTTTTACCAATGTTGGGTAAGACAGAGTATCTCAGTGTTTTTAGAGATTTTGTGTTCTTTATTCCTTTTTTTTTCCCCCTCAAAATTCCATGTCAACCATATCACCCATCATTGTCAGTAGCATAGTGGAAAAGAGCGCTAACCTGGCAATCAGAAGTCCTGGTTCAAATCTCATCTGGGGCCCCCCAGCTTTGGAATTTTCTGGAAGTCACTTAAACTCTAGACTTCCTTCACAGGGCTGTTGACAGTATTAACTGCAGCATTTTGTGAATTCTGTGATAGAGAAATGCATGTGGTGTCTGACTGAATACTCCCCATGATTTATGAGTCTTAGAGTTAAGGAATCTCCTGAATTTTATCAGCCAATTCTCTTTCATTCCCAAAGCAAAAGGCTCAAAATGATTTCTATCTACTTTGTATACATTTTAGGTACAG